AGACTTGGCGCTAGAGTGGCGGGAGCTCGGGACCAATCAGCGACGCGTCTGGCTGCAGACGGACAAAGCCCGGGTGCAGGCACGCACTTCTCACCCGGGCTACAACCTCGACGTCTCTGATTCGCCTGGTGGGACAGTCCGTCGCCGTGGTCACTGCTACTTACTCATGCCGTCACTTTGTGCGCCCCACGCAGTCACTGGTGGGACCGCGCGAGACTTGGTACTAGCCTCGTGAGAGCTTGAAGCCAACCAACTCAGCTCCTTCGCTGATTGGCTACATGCGGACACAGTTCAGACAGGGCAAAAGTGCAGACGACTGCTAAGGGGCTAAAGGCCCCAGCGGCGGACAGCCGCTTTCTTTCGCATCAGTAAAGCTTGTCTGACCGAATCTGTCTTCATTGACTTGTAATTAGGGATTACCAATTGATCGAATACTACATCGTTCGACATGATGGCCTGTTGTCACTGCGTATACGCCCTTCGCCTCAGAAGAGCCATCTATCTTCCCTTCCCAGTTTTTTGAGAAATCTCGATTTGTAGATCATCGCAAATCGACAAAACTTTCATCCGTTACGACAATGGAATAAGAATCTCCCGTAATATAGGTGGCCTTGCGTTGAATTCCAGGGATATTAGGAATAGGGCTGAGGTTGAGACACGGGAATAGTCATCCTTCCTGGAACTAAGGGCAAGGCCACCAGTATTATGTCTAATCCTCCTAAATCCCTTTGATAGAAATAAGTAAACTTAGTATAGACATTTTGTGGGAGAGCACATACGTCGTTTGAAAAAGTATTTCAATGTAGAGGATATTTGCTGGGGGCGATCACAATTTAAGAAGTCCAGGGGGTACTTCCAGGAAAGTATGAACAGCCTGCTTTTCGCGGGTTTCCCGATCGCGCTGCGAAACATCAATCGTGAGCATGCTTCAGAGGCATAGCAACTTTGATATTGTTCTACAGGCCAGCCGGTTTGATCATTGCAAATACAACCTTGTTAATTGACTATAGTTTGAGGCCCCTAACTTAAAGTATCACCTGCAACTGAAGCTCGAACTAGAAGGACCTGTATCGAGGACTTCATGTCAGTTCTATTCCAGAGGTCCGGACGAAATTAACTAAATAAAAATGGCAGTTTTTTCACCATTTAATTGCTTTCGCCATCGCTACCCATAGAATGATAACCTTGTGACAGAACAATAAAAGTTAATGGTGTTTGAAAATGTGTTTGGTGGAATTTAAGGCAGGTTTCCAAATGAGGAAATGGGGTTCATGCACACAGTTTCAGCAGGTCCCAGAGGTTGTTCGAAAGGCACGTGCCAGGTATTCGAATGTGACAATTCCGGAATCCGCAGTAGATACGGTGTTATGACCCGACCTGGCACTCAGAAATCACACGAAGCGTATGCGCCCCCGACTGTTGTATCCAACACCAACACGGTAGAGAAAGACGGCACGATCGGCCACGAAAATGTGTATTAAAAACCGGCAAGTCCTTGTTAGTGAAAAGTTGTGTGTATTTACAGCATCCCGTTCAGATTGGCTAATATTCTGTCCAATCGGCTTTAAGAGAAAGTTCTGGGAGAGCCGAGCAACTTCTCGCAGACACGAGCCAATCAGATCTGACGGGTGCACTGTAGCTACAGCCCATGCGGAACGCTGCCGAGCGCGTGCAGCGTGGGGGACGCGCGCACGTGTTTTTCTGTGAGGTTGGCTCTTCGTGAGAGTGTAGACTTTCCCAACACACGGACAACAGAATAGTCCCGCTGAAAATGCCGACTACTGGCGGGGGAGTGCGACTTCTGCACACACTGACTGGAGGCCCTCATAGATGGGTTGGCCTTATAGCTTAAAATCAAAGCGAGATGGGATACGTTTATCAACCGAGTTGAAGGTGGAATACAGAGAAGACGATGTTTGCCTGTTAATCTATCTGTCAGAAGCCCGACTGTCCGATCCCGGTACAAAAGTAACAGAAGTTTCGCGATTTGAGGTCGCAAAACTCAACTACAGGAGCAAGCATGACAAATTCGTGTGGGACCTTCATGGTGGCGACGAAGCCCTCACGAGATGGGAGTTTGTCACAATCCGCACTATTAACATGTGGATAGAGGGCGCGATTAGTAAAGTGGTGTACGGCCTGAGTAATGGGACGGGAGGTTTTACAACCACCTTCGTGAGGGCGTGTCCTCAACCCCTTCCAGCTAACCTGTTTCCCAGGACTGGAAGGTGCGTACTCCCAAAGGCGAGCCAACGATCAGCCACGTCCTTGGTGAGTTTACTGCCGCCAATCGATCCTACAATAATCGACATTTCGGCTCTTTCGAAGACAACGGGGTCTGGGGGAGGACCTGTTAATCAGGTATTCGGATGAAGAAGACTGGAGCTTTGGTGATTATTCAGCTGGGGGAAAGCTGGGCACGCGCAATTTTCGACATTTGCACAAAGCGAAAGTATCCCAGGCAGGTAGCAGGCATATTTCGGACCAAATGTACGTGGGGGTGCGACAGAGACCGCACTCAGGGGAGGCCTCAAACCACTAGGTCTGCAAAAGCCTAATTTCTCCAATCTTCGATACCGAAAATCATCTAAGGATAATTCTGCTTTACTTGACTACGATGGCGTTCAGTTGTCTCACAGGAATGACAAGTTGGCCACACTAGGGCACGCCATCCGAAGTAGACGAAATGACTGGGCATGAATAAAACCCATCCAGCAGGCGGATGCTGCTTAGAGCTTACGAATAATCGGAAATCCCGTAGGGCAGTGCGTTGTTAGACAAAGCGGACCAACTAGAACCGACATTTGCAGAAAGCAGAGTAGACAGTGACTCCCAGCACTGTAAGCTCTATCCACAAAGCTTTGCTTTTGGGGATTCGTGCTGCCCGGATAGTAGAAGTTCGGAAAGGCCGCATAGATCACCACGGGGGACTCCTCCCCCGTACGACACCCTCGTGTGGCTATTTGCCGGTAATCAGTCGCGAGCATTTCGAATCCATGTCCAGGCGAGTGATAGGGGCCTGAAGTTTTGTTTTGGATGGTCCGACGGGTGTTAAGTCTTGAAGGAAGCACACTAGAAAGCAACCCTGACAAGGCCGGGTACGGGAAGATATTTTGTCGGGTCCCTTAATTTCGACAAAAAATGATGCGTGGGTTCAAAGTATGACCCCCTCGGACTCGGCTCAAGGGTTTATATAGTTGAACCAAATTCTACCAATCTCGGTGAAGTAGACCCGCAATGCATAGGCTCCCAATAGACAGTTAACAGCAAATAAGCATGCACCTAGATTGGTCCGCTATACTCCCAGCATAAACACTTAGATCGCTGACTACGTGGCTCGGCTACGAGGGCGACAGTATATCAGCAAACTCCAATACTTCTCATTCGGTACCTGCTGTAAGGATTCCAGTTCCCAGTTGCCAAAAAGCGCGTGAAGTCGGTCTTGTCAACTAGGTAAAGACCGCCGAATTATCATCTGGGTGAAATGGGTGCACGTGCCGACTTATTCGGGGACAACGTGGACTGCTGGGCCGGCGTATGCGCGTCACCACTCTTATCGTGTTTCTTCCACTGTTTGCAAGCCTGATGCAGCCGTCGGCAGGTTGCGCGGCTTGTGGTTGTTCGTAGCCTTAGCGGCTATCGTTGCGCGACCTTACCACAGACCCAGTTCGGCACTCTCTTACACATGCCGAAGCTCCTACACGCTCTACGGCCACACTACCAGTCGAAGCCTTCTATGTACAATCTGCGGTCAGGTGGTCTGTAATGGGCGCTCCGCCTCGGCAAACGTGGGGAAATTCCCGCTAATCGCTACCCGTGATAGTTGTAAATTGCTGTCCCCCCATGTGTGCGGATGAGCAAATGGACCCGAGCCAGACTTCTCAAGACCTAATGATCACGAACCTTTGAAAGAACCGAAGTAACATCCTGACCAGCATAACATTTGAAGCTTGATTTTCTGCTTGATGAGCACGAAGATCCCTTCATGAGCTATCTATCAAATATATTTGAATCCATAAAGGTGTTGAAACTTGACAAGATACGTCACGCTGCTTAAGTAGTCAGTTACTAAGGAGCGCGGTCTGAAAACTCATGTAAAGGCAGGTACCATGGCAGGACTGAGATGTCTTGGGATTATGTTGCATGATCACTAATAACACAATTCCACCTACGCAATCCTCCCTCATGGGAAACACATTTTGGAAGTTCGGCTAACACTTAACGACAGATCAGTTACTGTAGAGGGTTCTTAGTATAAGGGATAACGACGAAGGTTGACAGTAGGACTGCTCGCCCAACCGATGCGGAGCGGCGCGGATAACCACACCCCCACCCCACGCTTGTCCGTAAGTTCCTCGACAGGTGGCTTGAGTTGGGTGCTGACAACACTCTGTGGGTGATCTACGCTTGAACAGGACCTGCTTGGAAAGACGCTGAATAACCACAGCATATGGACAGCCATGACAGCAAGTATTCGAAAAGCGAGAAGCTTAATCACGCCAAAATATCCAACTAGACCAAGAACTTATTCCTCAAAGACTGCGTCCATGAAGTCAAGCAGACGAGTGGAATTAACTCGGGGCGCAAAAAAAAACAGCTAGAGGTTGAACACATACAGTACTACCTGTGGAGAAAACGCAAGCCCGTAAAGCACACTTCATCACTACGGCAGCGAAACATATCAAAGGCCGTACGGTGACTAGCCATCCCACGCTCAATATTGGACCATGGCTCATACTGGGGCGGCAAGGTAGTCTGACACCAAATGACGGGTAGACCGGGGGCGGGAAGACACATCTTTAACAGAACGCCTCAAAATAAAGGCCCAGATAGCTTGCTTTATCTTTTGTAAACGACCTCAAAGAGGTTCAATATGCCAAAAAATAAGAGTACATTGAAAAGCTCGGAAAGACCCAGGCACAAAATAAGGAGCATTTCATCGGGTAAGTCGAGTGCGTAAATATAACAAAGATGGTGAAAGGACAGTACCCTTAAACAGATTACATGTCTACATCGGCATCGACAACGTTCGCCCGCTTATCACGTGATGGCAGCATATACTGAGTCCGTACTTTGAAGGCAAACTGGTTGGCGTAGTGACGAGCGGCCTTATTCATCGATTTTTCAACATTCGACAAAGCAGACTTCGCTACCGGCGGTCCCATATCAAACACCGAGCGGACCAATTCATTCTGCTGGAGATGAGTGTTCAAACCATACGCCAGCAACTGACAAAGAACTTCGTAGTGATAGTTCTGACTGCAAGACGTGAGTTCCAGGCGTTCAGTTCCTACTTGAATGCTTTGCTCAAAAGGCATGTCGGACGCCTTCAAAAAATTTAAGACGTCTCGGAAAGACTGTCTTTGTTTCTTCAAGTCGACCTTCGACTTAGATTTAGTCCCATCAGTAGCTAGGTCAGTCAGAAGCTGAATAAGCTGACTAAAGTGTGGTCCTCGGAAGTCTGGATCGACTTCATGCCGTATTCGTTCGTAAATCAAAGCAATAACGTCACCAGCTGCGATGCGGACTTCGAGGCTCGATGTCTGCAGGAGGCTCAGCAAACAGGGTATTATATCCACACCGATCGTCTTCGCATCGAAGCTTGGCAAGGCGGTATAGACAAGTCCCCAGGCTCGAATGCAAGCACAATGCATGGTACACACGGGCGGTGGGTTGGTGGGTGCTTTTCCGTCACCCTTCAAACATGATCCGCGAAATATACCTTCGAACGTCTTCATCATGCTTCTGATCGCGGAATAGTCATCAAAGTTCCCAAGGAATACCAATATGGCCAGCGCATTGGCGCATGCCCCTCGAAAGGCTGATGTTACCGAGGCATCAGATAACTTGGTTTCCAGCAAGGATTGAAACCGAGAAACCAGCGAGCGCACGTCGAAAGGTGTTGAAAGAACGCTGGACACAGCGAGACATTCTGCAGCCAATGCCTGTTCCTGTGGTTTTCCCTTCTTCATGACGCCCTCAAGACCACTGAGGAAGGTATCTAAATAATTCCACGAATCGTCTAAGAAGATGTAGTTGGTCCGGAAAGTCTTTATCAGAGCCTGGAGGGCTGAGACTCGAAGATCGGGCCGTTTTTCATAAAGTGAGTCAACTGCAGCGGCCAGTTTGGACAATGTAGAGGCCGACGATAGCTCCGGATCGGTCTGGAAGACAGCGAAGCTTAGAATTAATGCTAAGAATGCGAAATACGATTTCTTAGGACTTAGGCAATATAATGGTTAGGGTTTCATTAGGTCATACATGAAAAGTTCTGTCCGGGCTCACTTTACTGGCAAATGACCAATAAAGCATACTGCCTAGTACGCATAGCAATACGAGGTCTGACAGGTGCTATATATGAGAAGCAAAAAATTAGAAGAAACTGACCCAGCGGAACAGGGCGCCACAAAAAATTTGCGTAGTTATTAGTAGGACAATTAAGCAGCCCATTGTACATTTCCAAAGGGGTCCCAGATCTAGTCTCAGATTCCATTGGGGCAATATATATTGTCCCACTATACACCGCGCATTAGGCGAGGCTCACAAGTAAAGCGTCGGTAAAATATCCGAGAAATTTTAGATAGTCGATGGAGTGTCTAAACTCGAGTTTAGCGTGACTACTTCAAACTGACATTCGTTCCGAAGACAAAGGATAAATAACTTCACAAAGAGATATTGAAATACAGATGGTCATTTCGTACCTCTGTGGAGGCGCCATGATCAGCCTCGCTGTCGTCACTGCACCTGCTCCTCGTGCTCAAATCATCTGGCACATCATCCTCTACGGGAGCTTTTACAAAACAGTAAGTGGAGCAAAAACGAAGAACCTTGCTTAGTCCGCGACTTTTTCTTTGGCATCATAAACACAAGGACGGAAGAGGCAAGCAAAACAGAAGAGCTGAACCCCGACCAGACGCGTTCCCACAAAAAACGTACTCGCCAACACGTAACATGCGAAACAACTATTTCGGCTATATCAAATTTTTAAGGACAGGGCTCGCTAAGGAAGACGCTACTCAAGAATCGGTTGACTCGAAGATACTGATGCCAATTTCTGTGAGAATACGCAATGGAAAAAAACTGATTTAACAGATGAAACGTTGATTAGCAACGTTGAAATAGAGAGGTTAGGGCCAGAGTATCATGATAGGCTACACCAACAGACATCTTGTTGAGCAGATGTCGGCAGACAAAGGCGCGAATATATGCTCCGCAGTATTTAAGAATAACGTTTCGGAGAGCGGCCTATAACAAAACATGTAGGAGTCTAGCTTGGTTGGTGAGAAAAAACAGACTTCTCGATAGTATTAATAAGACGTGTGCGTCAGTGCTAAGGTCTCGTCCCCGTGAAGTGATGTTCTCGTGAGAAAAAGGAGACCAAACTGGTTTCTGTCTTAATTTTTGACACATAAATCTTAAAAGGGTTGCCTCAAAGTTCACGAATGTGACTGGATTGGGAGTTATCCTTGCCGAAACTGTCAATCCTATAAAGAAACCCGTCTGTTTCGTTGTTAACGGAACGGAAAGCCACCTGTACCTCAAATTAGTAAGATCAACTCTTAGATGTCATTGCATAAATAGCATAAGAAAAGTGAGAAGAAGAGACTTTGATTCGCACTAAACCTGTCATTGGCTTCCATGTTACAAAGGAATACGTTGTCTGAGAACTCAGATAAGGCGAACCTGTAGTCCGACTTCTTCACTTCTGTGTACACCTAGGAGCCGGCTTTTGATGAAAGAGTTTACCCCCCAATTGTCTAATCAAACAATACAATTAGCACGATGGACTTCACGACAGACACGGTAAGGAAAACTTTGAGTCATCTACAGCCCACTAAATCCCCTGGTCCGGACGGCGTGTTCGCAAAAGTCCTGAATTAACTCTCAGACCAACTGGCCTCTCCGTTATCCAGGATCTTCAGAACTTCGATGGAGACCAGGGCTCTGCCTACCGACTGAAAGAAAACAAATATAAGCCCCATATATAAAGGTGGCGAGAAAACAGTTCCAAATAGTTTCAGACCAGTGAGTCTCACAAGCATCTGTTGCAAACTAATGGAAAGAGTAATAAAAAAGGAGCTGGTGCGGTACCTCGAAGAAAACAACTTGCTCAGTTTACATTAGCATGGATTTGAAGGAGTCGATCCTGTCTCACTAACCTGCTAGTATCCATGGCCAATTGGACGAAATCAATCGGCATGGGCTTATTAGTCGACGTCGTGTACATTGACTTCAAAAAGGCTTTTGAAGTGTTCCACACAGACAATTATATGTAAACTACGTCAAATGGGTGCGAATGGAAATCTGTTGAAATGGCTAGTCGATTTTTTTACGGGCAGATCTCAGCGTGTGTGTGTGTAGGAAACGCTAAATCGGAATGGGCAGCCGTGCACAGTGGCGTTCCGCTGGGAAGCCTTCTGCGTGCAATCCTGTTCTTGATATATGTGAACGACTGCCTGGACTGTCTGAACTGCGAGCGCGTAATTTTTTGCCGACGATCTCAAATTGTGGAAATTAATAGAGAGGCCGGAAGACTCTGTGCAGTTAGAAGACAATTTGAATCGCTTGCAAAAATGGTGTGATGAGTGGTGTCTTAGCCTCAATGGTAACAAATGCCAACTTATTCGACTACGTTCGAGCAACAGGTGGCCGTTGAGATTTTAATCTCAGTACTTTATAGGAGGTCACCAACTCGAATCAGTCAACGCGTTAAGAGACCTCGGTGTGTGGATGACGTCAACTCTCAAACCATCGTCTGACTGCGCCAAGGTATCAAAGAAAGCTATGGGTATCCTAGGCGCAACTAGAAGATCCTTCCTCAATTTTGATGAAGAACTTTTCAGCCGAGTATTTAGAGCATTCGTTCGACCAATGTTGGAATATTGTGTCCAGGCATGGTGTCCTTGGACGAAAAAGATATTACACCCTACTGGAGAACGTACAACGAAGAGCGACCAAGCTGGTCGGCGGATTAAGTAGCTTACCTTATGAGAGACGGCTGGAAAAGATAAAAATGTTTCCTCTCTCTTATCGACAATACAGGGAGGATATGATCATGGCCTTCAGGATCGCCCGAGGGCTAAACTGTGCTCTTCAGTTTGACGATTTCTTCGAACTGGCGCGGACGACAAATCTTCGAGGGCACCAATACAAATTGAAGAAAAAATATGCCTAACTCGAATTTCAGGCCAAATTCTTCTCCCACCGGCTGGTTGAGGGATGGAACAAATTGCCGAACTCCGTCTTAGCAGAGAACGTCTTAGCGGAAAACGTTGGAACCATCAAAAGAAGACTAGATAAGTTTATGCTTGATGGTCAAAAATTCACAAGATATCAATGACTGGCATATCTGCTGTGTAAATATCTGCTTGTTTTTTCATACGTCTATATGTAAATAGGGTTTTTCAAGGCTCAGCCTCTATCCCTCATACATACTGAATTATACTGAATAAAAAGGTACGGACACCGGTGCGATGAGTAGTTTCCCGCATTATGTCTAATACAGCTGAAGAAATGTCGCTTGTATAAAGCGTTAGAATATCTTTAATCAATAAAGCCTTGCATGTGAGCCATAACAGTAGCTCTCACTCACTTCTCTTTATGCGCGAAGACTGGCGTTTCAAAGATCCACAGTATGGGAGGCTCGCAGAATTATATCCCGTCGGCGGCTGTACAACACTTAAAGCCTAAATCAAGGTCTGATAATGAGTAGGCTTTTTGTGAATTCATGATGTGCCCCCCCATGCTGCTAAAGGACGAACCTTGGCAGAATAACTCGGAAAGAATGTTCGACCCACAATTTTACGTCCTCTGAAAACAGAAGGAAGCTCTTCTTAATGGTTTCGTTATGTCCTCAATGCACAACACCTCTAGCGTATGTGAAAAAGGTGTCGTTCGGCTTCTTTTCAAGTGACCTCAGTATACTCTAACGTGTGTGGGAACCGAGCAACCCACCACTTATGCGTGAAAACCTGACCAGATCACGTGTGGCACACGCAGGCGGGCTGATTTTAGTCTGGCCAGTCATTCGAAATTCATCCTTGCATCAGATGGCTTATCGACTCGGAGTGTGAACTGGCGCCTGCGAGACGGAAGAGACAGGGAGGCCGGCTGTGGATATTCCATCTCCATGGCACTTCAGCGCATTCCTCAAGTTCATAAATCTGACATGCTTAAGACTCTCAGGACGCGATAGATATCGTGTCTTGACAGGCTTCCAAATGACAAGTCTACTCGATCCTCCTCTCAGGATAGAGGATCAGGCTGCAGTGGCTGGTTAATTGACCTGTTTGTTAGTCAAAGTTTCGCCCCTCCTTCCTCCCCCCTTTTCCCCTTCCTCTGCTGAAATCGGGAAGAATCTTGAGCGTCCCACTGACCATAGCAATACACTGGTATATGTGGATGCTGATTTAGACTCATTAACTAAATTTTTTATCTTTAGTCACAATGACTCCCGTCTTCCCTCAGATGACATTCTCCTATCACCATGTGCTTTCCAACCCGTGTCTGTGGCAGCACTAGAGAAACATTTCAAAAAGGTCCGTGGATAAACAGCTGCTGGACCAGATGGTGTCTCGGCTTTTTCTTCTTAAATCTTGCTGTTCTGAGATAGCCCCTCTTTTAATGCACCTTATGAATATGTCTTTCATGGATTCCAAGATTCCTGACGCCTGGCGTACAATGAGAATCACTACCATCCCTTAAAAAACCCCTAATTTTAGTCCTAAACCTTTTCATCCAATTGCCTGCTCCTTCGCACTACTAAATCTTATTGAAAGTCTTGCCTTCGATATTATAAAGTCTTTTTCTTCCAGTTTTTCCGACCCTCTACAATCTGCATACAAAGCCAAAAGCAGTACTTTAGATGCTGTTGCTCTTGTTGTCCAGTCTGCTCTAAAAGAATTAGACAAGGGTTGCCGCGAGTATGCATGCGCTTTTCTTGATTACTCCTCCGCCTTCAGTACCATCCCACGCCCTCTTCTCCTGGCCAAAACATCCGCGTGCGGCTCTCCAGGCTGGGCCGTCTCTTGGCCTAGCGATTATTTTACTTCCTGCACTCAATTTGTCCAATCTGACAAGCGGAATTCTGTGGTTCTTCCCAATCGCTGCGGAGTTCTTCAAGGTTCCATTCTATCTCCTCACCTTTTCTCTTTCCTCACCGATGATTTAAGATCTCCTAACGACTGCATTTTGGTTAACTATGCGGATGATGTGGTTGTTGGACACCCTCTCAAGTGTCAGACACACATCCAGTCTCTAAAGGATGGCCTAAACCATGTCCTAGTATGGTCGGAGGAAAATGGTCTCCTAAGGAACAATCAAAAATCAGTCTAGTGTATTTTCCGATTTCGACCCTCTCGTCGTCCTCAGTCTTCTGACATCCTCCCTAACGAGGCATTCTCTGTCATGCACCTTTGCGCTACTTTTTCATGAAATCTTTCATTTGCCCGTCATACTGAGTCCCTATTTACTAAAGTTCGCAAACTTCTTTATCATATTCGTCGTTTACGTTCCTACCACACACCTCAATTCTTAGTCTGGCGACTCACAGATCCCTGTATTTTTCCTCTTATCATATACTGCTCTCATATCCTTTTTCCTGCTTTGCACAAAAAAGTCTTTTTATTCAAAAACGAGTCCTCCGAATGTTCTCTTCTGCCGCTGGTGTTTCTTATGTTTTATAGTCGATGCTATCCTACAACGACATTTCAACATGCACAAGCAATTTGCTGGTCGGATTATAGATGAAGTTGTCCAATACTTGCATCCTGATCTTATTTCTGCAAAGTCATCTCGCCCGATGCGCCGCGGCTGCCGACTTATGTCTTGTCGCACATCGGCCTTTCGAGTTTCTGTATTGC